ACAAATTAAATCAAATTTATCTAAGCAAGAAATTTTCGGTAATGATGGACTAAGGGAGTTGAAGAACACCTGTTATAGTCAACTTTACACGAGTACTCATGAATTTCATTTTTAGACCGACATTTCTGCACTACCTTTGTTAGAGGAGCCTACGAAGCTTAAACAAATGGAAGATTTCAGAGAACCGAAATAGAGTGTCTAGTAATTGATAATGCTAGTTGCGTCATTTTTGTCCGCATCCAATTGAAATGCCAAGCCAAAGGAAAAACATGTTGCAATGACAAAAAATAACATTTTTTATGGCTGAAACATTAGGTCAACCTAAAGCCAACTCATCCACTTGAATATTTGTCAAATAGCTATAACTCTGAAAGCATTAAAAGAGCTATTGATTCATTTGATATTCTTTGAACTCATGCTTATAATTTGATTCGATTTGATTGCGAGCCTGAATTAAGAGGCAATGCTTTACAGAATTCTTGCATTTTTATATCTTTTTTCTTCCTTCCTGAGATAAGAGAAATGAGAAAAAAATTCAAACAGGACAATCGCAAATGTGAAAGGTTCTGGAAGGTGTTAAGGCTCATTTTGCCTCTCTTGAAAAAAGAACGAACAATGCCAGATTTTGAGCATTTCACAAGATAATCAGTCCGAGAGATCAGATAGAACTTGTGTCATTACCAATAACCTGAGAAGAAAATGGGACATGGTCGATTCCAAGGACAAGACCAGTAGACAAAAATGAGGCCTCATCCAAGAGATAAAACAGAACTAATTCATATTGCATGCATCTTAGACATACTTAAGAGTATCGCATTGATCATTTTAGCATACATAATTTTTGTAGTTTTTTGAGTTAAGTTTAAACTTCAAAACGAAAGATACTCGGATCAAAAGCACATTCAAAAGTTGATGGTGATTGCTCGACCTCACAGCGAAGGGGCGACTGTCTGACGACAAAACAACTTTCCGAGTCTTGTTCAGAGTCAATTTCAACTTCACAGCAAAATATATTGAACTCAAATCGACACAATTTGTTTGAAACAGGATTTCAACTCCACTCAAAACCAACTTTCTCGAGATTGGATTTCAACTTCACGACGAAGGATATCTAACTCAAAGCAACATACAATACTTGGATTTCAACTTCACGAAGAAGGATATTCAAGTCAAGGCTCAACTTCACGACGAATGGGCCATCCACGATTTCAACTCCACGACGGAGGATATCGTACCCACAGATCCACGATTTCAACTTCATAACGAAGGATATCGTGCCCATCTACACAAGATTGGATTTCAACTTCACGACGAATGATATCCAATTCAAAGCTCAACTTCACGACGAAGGGGTTTCCTAGTTTCATTCAGAGACAATTTCAACTTCACGGTGAAGGATATTTGTAACATCCTCAATACCGGGTTAGTGACTAAATTGTAAAATTTCAAAATTTGGGGATAAAAGTAGAAAAGTTGAATAGTTCAATGATTTATGTGGAGATATTTTCTTGAAGTTATTAGTAATTATTAAAGGATATTAAGGGCAAAATGGTCTTTGTAATCTAAAGATAATTATCTGATCTCTTTATTAAGAGATAAGCTTGTGGGGAGAGTTATATGGAAAACTCTTATCCTTTCTTCTTCTCCTCTATGTGAGAGCTCAAGCAAAGGTAAGATTTCTTGTTATTGATTATTAGCTGAAATTTAAGGTTGAGTTTTGATTATTAGGTGATAATTAAACATAAGAAGAGCTTAAATTATCTTGAAACAATAAGATGAAGAGAATAGAGGGATTTAAAGAAAAGAGAGGAAAAAGTGAAATCTTGAAAGAGGGTTCTGATACCATTAAATATAACACTCCCAACCCGAATCCGATCTGGATCCGAGTATGAGGTGCCATATTGACTTTTTAAAACATTTACTTGTATAAAATAGTGAGTAATTTAAAAACTTTTATAACATATAACTTATTCAAAACGTTTACAGAACTATTCAGAGCTTATACAATTCAAATCTTTTAAATACATGCCAACTAGACTTTTATACCATAAAATACATTTAAATTATCTATTTTCTGATCTGAAACTTTGTAAGGAAAAATGCTGACCTGACTTACACCTCAACAATCCATAAGCTTGTAAGAACCTGCGTGTGAAACACTCACAAGCTAAGTCTATGACTTAGTGATGCGAATAAATATATAACGTAAACTCTAACTTGTAATCATACAGAAACAACTATTATTATCATATCATACACATCATATCAAATCATCTCACTCATATGCTTTTCATATAACAATTACATACATGTCATCATTTATGTTTTTATCTTGCTCCTATACTATTATACTTCATATCTCTTATTTCTTATTCATATGATCTCTTACATTCATATTCTATAACTTATAACAAATTCTTATATCATCATATATAAGTCATTTATACTCACTCATATATACATCAACATATATTCATGTAACAGATACAATAACCCATATCACACATATATCATATCATGAAATTCATATACATATATCACATACATTGATTTCACAATTATCTCTTTATTAGCCCATGTACACATGTGAGAACTGTAGATATGTGAGTCTATTGAGGTTGTACACTATGCTGTCACCACAACTCGTATAATTCCCATTAGGGGGGCGTAGAATTTATCCTGAAGGACCACGTAGATGTCCCAAAGGACTACATATAACACATATGTCCCAAAGGACCACTATATCCCAAAATACCACTATGTCCCGAAGGACCGCGTAGACTCTCGACTCTTGGCATGCCAAATATACCTCTAGGTCTCCTAACACTTTCATGGGCATTCTCTTTTATATCGTTTCACATAGTCATATCTCATATGCTCATAGCTTTTATCATATCATTTCTCATATTTATATAATAATATGATTCACTTTCAAGTATCACATATACACATTCATATCACATGTTCTTATAAACTCATAACTTCTTTCACATGTACCTGTAATCATGTAGCTTCTTTTCACGTAGTTCATGTCACTTTTCATATCATTCATTTATCACATACATAATCTCTATCATATATACATTTCTTCACTTATCTCATAGTTATGTATCATATTATATAATTTAACTTATATCATATTATCATGTGTGCATATATCATGGACAATTAATATGTATCATATAAACATTTATTCACTCATATCATTAACATATGTAACAATCAATAACACACACATAACATGTCAAACATATGCTCATATTAATGAATTCATGCATTATACTATAGGAAATAGACTTGTCACAAGTCTTATTTCCATTAATACATAATACACTATCTAATGTGCACTCACCTTGGCCTCACTACGTTCCAATACACTTTATGATTTTCATCTCTTTCGATCGAATCTTAACTTGCCAATTGACACGGGCTTGTTCGTGCTCGATATCTATATAATCATACATTGATATATATCAGTATCCAATTGATATACACTAATCTATCATTTCTTAAACCAAAAGAAATGTCTATTTCAATTTCCCCTTGAAGTGCATCGATGCATTCTTTAACATGTGCATCGATGCACTACCCATGCATCGATACACAAATTACCTTCGATGTTTTCATTTTTAAAGGGATGCATCGATGCACTCCTTATGCATCGATGCACCAATTGCATTCGATGTTTCTTCTTTAAAGAGTGCATCGATGCACTTTCAATGTGCATCGATACAAATTGCCCATAATTTGTATTTTAAGCCCAAAAATCCATTTAATTCAACTCAAATGCTTCATATTTCATACCCTTTCATATTTCTATCTTACATATACATATTTTCACTCATTTATACTCAATAATCACTTCTTTAACCTCCATATCCTATTCTCCTTAAGAAATTCAAGAATCATACCCAAATTTTAACATGTTACAAATCCAATTTAACACTTCATACATGTTAATTAGATTGATGACAAGTCAAATTCACTCTAAAATCTCATTAAAGAACCCTCTTTCAAGATTTCTCTTATTCTTCTCTTTTTTTAATTACCTATATTCTTTTCATCTTATTGTTTCAAGATAATTTAAGCTCTTCTTATGTTTAATTATCACCTAATAATCAAAACTCAACCTTAAATTTCAGCTAATAATCAACAACAAGAAATCTTACCTTTGCTTGAGCTCTCACGTGGAGGAGGAGGAGGAAGAAGGGATAAGAGTTTTCCAGATAACTCTCCCCACAAGCTTATCTCTTAATAAAGAGATAAGATAATTATCTTTAGATAACAAAGACCATTTTGCCCTTAATCTCATTTAATAATTACTAATAACTTTCAGGAAATATCTCCACATAAATCATTGAACAATTCGACTTTTCTACTTTTATCCCCAAATTCTAAAATTTTACAATTTAGTCACTAACCCGGTATTGAGGATGTTACAATATTGGACTCGAAACAATACAAGCTTAGATTTCAACTTCACGATGAAGGATATCATGCTCACCATCAACATTCATTGGATTTCAACTTCACGACGAAGGATATCCAATTCAAGGCTCAACTTCACAACGAAGGGGCCATTCATGGTTTCAACTTCACAACGAAGAGGTCATTCACGATTTCAACTTCACGACGAAGGGAATCGTGCTCACCAGCAACATTCATTAGATTTCAACTTCACGAAGAAGGTCCTATTCAAGGCTCAAACTTTACAGCGAAGGTGCCATCCACGGTTTCAACTTCACGACGAAGGGAATCGTGCTCACCAGTAACATTCATTGGATTTCAACTTCACGACGAATGATATCCAATTAAAAGCTCAATTTCGCAGCGAATGAGCCATCCACGATTTCAAATTCATGAAGAAGAATATCATGCCCGATGAAGTGATTTAGTGTCACAACAAACATGTCATCCATAGATTTGACTTCCTTAAGTCAATGATTAAAGCTTCTGAAAGGATTTCTTTAACATGCATAAACAAGCAGATTATCGATCACCTTTGAGATTGTTTCTCTCGAAACAAAGGGGTCGTCTCGCTCAAGACTAAGTTACTCAAAACAAAGTTTTGTCTCTCTTGAGACAGTTTCTTTTAAAACAAATTTTGTCTCTCTTGAGACATTTTCTCTTAAAACAAATTTTGTCTCTCTTGAGACAGTTTCCCTTGAAACAAAATCTTTGAATCTATTTTCCTTTAAACAAATTTCGTCTCCCTTGAGACAGTTTCTTTTAAAGCAATTTTTTTCTATCTTGAGACAATTTCTCTTAAAAATTTTGTCTCTCCTGAGACAACTTCTCTTGAAACAAAATCTTTGAATCTGTTTTCCTTGAAACAAATTTCGTCTCCCTTGAGACAGATTATTTTAAAACAAATTTTGTCTCTTTTAAGACATTTTCTCTTAAAAATTTTATCTCTATTGAAACAGTTTCCCTTGAAACAAAATCTTTGAATCTATTTCCTTTGAAACAAAATTTTTGAATCTATTTCCCTTGAAACAAGTTCTGTCTTCCTTGAGATAGTTTCTCTTGAAACACAAAATCTTTGAATTTATTTCCCTTGAAACAAAATTTTGTTTATCTTGAGACCGTTTCTCATGAAACAAAAAATATCTTTGAGATCGTTTCCCTTGAAACGAATTCTGTCTCTTTTGAGATAACTTCTCTTGAAGCATCATCTGAATCATGTCATTCAAATCAGAGGCAAATCAAATTTATAGCATAGCTCAAGGCAAGAAGGGTTATCTGCCAACAAAATTGTCAAGGTCGATTCCATCCAGCTTGATGACACATTAATCACTACTGTTCGGTTACAATCAAGGTTTTCCGACAACATAACTTAAGTCGAGAAAAGCTATGTGTTAGCGAAAACTTTTCAAGTTTGATTTCATTCATCTCGAAGACCTATCGACCACATGGTGGAGTCAAAGAATTATTTTCCAGTCGAATGTTTAAACCAAGGTCTTTAAACCAAGAATAAAATTGAAGTTGACTACAATTTGGCAACGAGAAGCAACATTCTAAACTGCGGCTTCAATTCCAACAGATTAACCCAACTTCACGATGAATGAGTCATCTGTAACACAACAACACCGAAATCTTCAGGACAAGTTTCACCTTCACGACGAAGTATCTTAAGCCATAAGACGATCCAGGAGCTACTAGTCAAAGCTTTGAGTTCGATTTCCACTTCACAACGAAGGATTTCGTGCTCAGAATTTTCCAGTTTCGACTCAACCTCACGACGATTGAGTCATTTCATATTTCAGTTCAAATTGACAAACCATTCCTAATATCGGGTCTCAACTCTACGACAAAGGATATTCGATGTAAACGAAAAGCGTCTTTTAATCTTTGCCCTATCCCCGTTACACGACTATGGGCAAAGAGGGGCAGCTATAGACACACTTTTTATGACCAAAATAAACATATATTATATATATATATATATATATATATATATATATATATTGTATAAATATTATCATTATTTTATTAAACTAATACATTTTACATTTGTCTCATTTCTGTATCAGACCCAAAATTTCATTTGGCCTACCCAAACCGGTCTAACCTCAATCCAAATTAGTTAGGGTTTTACAACCCTAACCCTACCACTCGTTTCAGCTAGCGCCGCAGCAGCCAAAGAGACTTTCCCTCGCCTTACTCTCCGAGTTTCCCGGCCGTACGACTCATCTCCAACAGCCCCGAGATCTCCGGTGCAAGGGACATCACCAACAAATAACAGAATTAGAGTTCTAATAGGAATCAAACTCTAAAATCCTAGGCTATAAATCTCATGTAGCTAGAACATTCACGGACACGGATATTAGGAGGAGATTACTAGCAAACAGAGAGTTACACACACGATAGGACCAGATAGTTTACGCACGAAAATACTAGGAAAATACAGAAGCAAATACGCACAATCCGAGATATACTACGGAAATACACAGAGCATTTGAGGCGTTTTGTAAAAGTTTTTCGAAAAAAAATAAACGAAAGGTATATTTGTTTACCTTTTTCATTCGTGTTGCCCTTGCATGTTGATTTGCGCTTGTGGTTTGGCTCGAAAACGACAGAAACCCAATCGGTCGAGGATTCAGGGGAGGAGGTTTTGCTCTCGTAATCCCTCCCCGAGGCCATGTATTTCTGAAAAATGAAGTGTTTTTTTAAAAAAGGTTTTCGTAAAGCTTTCAAAAATTATTTTTAAAAAATGATTTTTTTTTCGCCGATTAACGGCGGCGGTGAGGTGGCACACGGTGGCCGGATACTGGGTTCATCAAGAACCAATCATTGTTCTTCGTTTTGGAAGAACAGTTCAGAGCAAAACATAAAAGATGGGGGGCTTTGTTTTCGTGAGAGGAGAGAAATGAGAGTTAAGCCATGACTTTGGCTTATATACTGACCCGACCCGAGCGCGTGTTTTAAAGAAAAATGGGGAAATCTAATTTTTAGTACCTCCGGTTTTAAATGTGTGTTATTTTGATCCCAAATTCAACCTTAAAACCCAATTTCTTTTCAAATTAGCCCCTGATTTTTACTCTTATTTCAAATTAACCCCCACTGTCATCATATGTATATATACATTTATTTCCTTTTATATATTTTTTTATTTCTCTATTTTTACTAATTTTTATTTTTTATTATATTTTATTTCATTATTTTATTTCTCGACTATTATTAATATTTTTCCTAATATTTACTTATTTAGTATTATTATTTATTTTGTTTGTTTGTTTTATTTAATATATGCTATTATTTTACATATTTTTTTATTTTATCATTTATATATATATGTGTATATGAATATTTTACCTTTGGTTTATATTTTCATGCTTCTATTTTTTTAGCATCTTATTGTATATATTTACTATTATCTTCCTTTTTATTTTTTTCATTTCTATTTTTCTTTACCTTATTCTTCCTTTATATTTGTTTAATTAAATCTAACTTTCTTCTTTTGAGGGTACAATTTCAATTCGTCAAAGGTAAATAATTTGGTTCGTTATTTTACCTTTATATTTAAAGTTATCATTATCTTAAATTAAGACAACTGGAAATTATATAGTACCGAAAGGGCAGTTCAAGGGTGCTAACCCTTCCTTGATTGTAACTGACTCCCGAATCCGACACACCTTTGGAAAGACGCAGATCGGGTAAGAAATAAGGTATTTGGTTAACCCATTTTGTTTAAAATAAATGATCAGTGGCGACTTCTAATCCATTTTCCTAAGTCGAAGCCCAATTTCGGGCCCATCCGAAAGAAGGTTCCGACAGATTATATTGTCACGTTTGACGAATACGGATAAGTATCGTTAATGGTAATTATTATTAAATTAATTTATAAAACGTTAAATTAAAAGTATTAAATGTATAATTATAAATTAGTTAAAATTCTGAATGTAATTTAATTAAAATATAATATTTATAAAACATTAGATTTTATAATCTTATTTTAATTATAATTAGATCAAATATTAATTTGAAAATTTTATAAACCCAAATTTATTTTCATAGCTTTTAAGCTCTTCTGCTGTTGTCGTCGCCACCGCCGTCACCATTGGTATCATCTTTCATCGCCAGTGAATGATAAAGATTAAACCAACGAAGAAAGATGATATCGGTGGCGAGAGCGATAACTTCAAAGCTGAGCATGTTAGGTTAATGTATTAAATATGAGGATGGTGTCCAAAATTCATCATTTCCGAGCTGTTTAAAATAAAGGAGAAAGATAGTCGCCAAAGCATGCTTCAATAATTTTCATCTTTTTTGCTAAAAATATTCTATAATCCCCTACAGATCTTACCACGTGCAGTTTAAATATTCGTTTTGATTTCCCCAGTACCATCCTTAATATGACGTGCAACGTGGTGGGGAAATCAGTGCATCAACAACAAAACAAAGGTGAAAATTAAATTATTCATATACCAAATATGCCTTTGGCTACAAGGGAACCATTTAAGGTGGTTATTCAAAGAAATTGATTAAATGCACACTGGGGAGACTATATTTGTCCAAACTACAAGTTCGATGCCCCATTTATGTAAGCTAATCCTTCAACATACTGTAGTTTTTGTTTTTAAAAAAGGAAAAAAGCGCGTACGATATGTGAGTAAGGCGTTGAAAGAGTTAGTAAATAGATTTTTTTTCAAGTTTTAAAATTGAGTTCGATTGTATATAAATTATGTACGAATTAATTTAAAATGAATTAGTAATTAAGGAATTAGTGTTTATAATAGTTATTTATGATGTATATTGATTGTGATTATTCAAATAAGTACTTGTAGTGATAAATTATAATATATATGTTGAAGTTAAGCTAGTGAGATGGAAACTAGTGGTGTTTGCTCGTGGTTTGTTTTCTTTAAGTTTGAACGAAAGATTGTTGGAGGAAAATACAAAGACGTTAGTCAATGGTGGTTTGTCTTTTCTAATTTTATCAGATAATTGCTGGAAAAAAATGCTGATCGAAAATGGGGCTCAAATTCTACCTCCTCCTAGGAGAGAGGGAAGAAAAAGAACAGGAGAAAGAGCTAGGAATGTCCATTCCCCTCTCAAAAGAAATTAGGTCCTATTATATGTCATGTGTCCTTAATATCATACAACGTGGACGGGTGGATAGGTTTAGAGGTAGAATTTATAAATAGGCCAGCCTAGAGCCTATTATATCAGTTCACTATCATACCTCCTATCTGGGCAAGTGAGATGACTAAACAAACCAGGGTTACCTTCTTTTTTTCTAAAATCAAACTAGATTATCTTTGTATGAGTAAAATGAAACGTAACAAGGACTACAACAACTCCACTTCAAAATAGTATTAATAAATTATTATAACATTTGTTCTCTCTTAATTAAACGAATGTTATATAGTAACACGATCTGAGATTGTTCACCTTTTATATAGTGCTAATATCGTAGAAGTTGGTTTATAGGGGAAGACGTGCACATATGTTAGTATTCAATGATAGCTCTTTTAATGCATGGGATGGTAAAGTTGAGCATAGAAATTTATCCAAATTTCTTGCTCTCCAGCCAATTTCTTTACATCCCCTTATTTCAAAACTAAGTATACTGATATTTCAGTTTAAAACATGTTAATGCAGTTGTATCGAACAATATTTAAATTAATAATAGTAAATTATTTGGAAAATTAAAGCATAAATAAGAAAATTTATTTATACATTTCAAATAAATAACTATTTTATTTTGACAGAACTTTATCAAAGAGAAATACATTATAATATTCTTAATACAAAAGACATAAATCTTCAATTTAACTACATATACTAATTACAGGTACTCTTCCACATAATATTATCTCAGTTATTCTTTTCCTCAAAACCCTCATTGTAAACACTGCTCACAAATCTCATAATTAAACATTTCTGGTATTTCTTAAATAAGTTAATTTATACAAAATAATAAAAATTCTCTTTCGAATAATATAATAAAAACTATCCAAAAATTATAAACAATTAAAATTATAAGTCTTTTTTCATTTTAATTTATAAAAAATTATTCATCAAATAGCTGGTTTATTATTAAAAAAACCCTTTAGTTTCCAAATAAGTAAACTTTAAAAGATAATATTGATCTTGTCAAATATTTTTTTAACAAACAAGATCTTTTATCATCACTGATTATATATATATTTTAAATAATCTTATTGAAATACATCAAATCTATTTTTGTTAAATAATAAATCGAATCAAATAATAAAGTTTTTTGATAGACCAGATACAAAATATTTATTTTTTTAAGACAATAATTATTCTGACATAAAACTCGTATTTATATTCAATACATTTTATTTAATATGAAATATATATATATATATATTAAAAGCACACTTTTCGAATACAATATACCAGCTAAATAAATTAAAAAATATATAGTTAAATTGTCCAGTTAATCTTTCCATCCGGTAAAAATATCTTCATTCATCGATGAAAAGCAAAATAATTTTCTGGAAAAAAATATCTCAAGATTTCATTATAATTGATTCATATTATTTGTAATAAATTAATCGAATTGTTGAATTGTACCATAAAAAAATGTCAACATCCTCTTTTTGACTCACAAACCTTAAATTGAAAGCTGCTACTTTTTCTCAATTAGAGATAATAATTTCAAGTACGATGAAATGATCTGATAGGAGAAATATTTTTATGAAAAGATTAAAACAAGTATATAATATATTAAAATCTATGTTATATAAATTGTTAGCTTATAGTTTAGGTTAATGTATAATATTTAATGATATATAAAATATATAAATGTGTAATTTCTCTTTCTGCTTTGAGTTTATGGTAGAATGTGCTGTTGAGCACATGGAGCATATTTGAGAGAAACGTGTTTTGACCATACACCTCTCTAAATATGTAACACTTGAATTTCATTAATTTTTTTTATAAAAATATATATATGAAATTATTTTATTATTTATATCAAATTGCATTTGCTCTTTTCCTCTTCGATCTAGTTTTAAAATTAGTCAAAAGCATTAAAAAAAATAAACCAAAAAAAGCCAACAGCAAGCATGTTAATTAACTTGAACCCTGTTCACACCTCGCATAAATTAGGATTAGGATTAGTGTAATTAGGGTTTAATCATCAAATAATCCTTTTGCCCAAGTTGATAGTTCCCATCATAAATTTTACAATTTTTTTATGTCGGTATGTTCAAACTCAATTCAAACATGATTTCTTTCATCTTTTATATCTGTTTTTTTCTCTCTCCTCGATCAAATCTGTGCCGTTTGTTCTTTATAAACCGCTCGATGAGATCAGTCAAACTACATGTGTGAACATTTCATTTGGTCGGTATCTGCCTATATATATATACATATATATATATCCCACGTTTATGAAAAATAAAATTATATTTGAAAGTTCAGGTTTTGATTTCACTTACGAATAGATTAATATTCGCAATTAAAATGTTTTTAATTATCTTTTTAGATTTATGATTTTTTATTTTATTAAAATAAAATAAAAATGAAGAACTATATACCAAATTAATACCTCAAGAATATATGAATTTTTAAAATCAAAGTGCTTGAGACTTAAAACTTTTATATTTCTTAAAAACGAAATTAAATTTTGTAATTTTCCCCTTTTTGTTTTCCTAATGAGAAAAAACGAAGGAGATGAATCAATATCAAATGTCACATAATATTAAATACATTTTCCAAATGAACAATATGAAAATGAAATATCAAACATTTATTTCGATCAAAATAAGCTAAAAACCTAAAATTAGTACAAGATATAATTTAAATATTATTTTAAAAATATTTCCAAAATAAAATAAAGGCAGAGCAAATTTTGACCTCAACTTTAACATTTAGGATTTTATTTTTCCTTTGAATTTTTTTTTCAATTAACCTAAATGTAATAGAATAATAATAATATTTTTAAATTGATGTTAATTATTTTATCATCTTTATCTCATTATCAAATAAATTCAAAAATATTTAATTTGTCCAAAGTAAAATGATGATGCCATATTATTTTTTATAATTTTCAACATTTTTATTTTTTCAATGACATGACATAAAAAATAATATAATTTATACCAACATTTCAATAAGGATAACTTAATTTTATTATTTTACCACATTTAGATTAATGTAAAAGAAAAACAAAATAAAAAATATCACAATATAAATTTAAGAGTTAAATAATTAGAGAGATTAAGTTAAGAGATAAAAAAATTAAAGTTAAACTTAATTTATTAACAGTAAAAGTTTATCAATATAACTGAATGAAATTGAAAATCTTATAACATATTCAAAGAAATATATTAATTTTAACAACCTAAAATGAAAATTACCTGAAATTTTAAGTGGATGGTTTTCTAAAAAAACAGTGGTCTTTTAAAAGTAATTAGAAAATTCTTTAAATATATATAATTTTAAACAGAGTGGATACAATTTGAAATTTGATACTTTAAAATAATTGTATGTATTTAAAAAAATTCAATTTTATTTAAATATATATATCTTCTCCATCCATAAACAGAGTGGATACAATTTGCTATTTGATACCAAATACAATGAATAACTTTATTACAAAAAAATAAAAGTATATTCCTATCTATAATCTAAAACATGTATGCCACACGTGTCTCATAACATATATTAGAGTTATGAATTTTCTGTCCAGCTCAATTGGTAGAGCATAAGACTCTTATATTTGTAGTCGTGGGATCGAATCTTATGGT